CTTTTAAATAATATTTTCAGGGTCGAAATAAAGGCGCAGATTCTTTTAAAGAATATTTTCAGGGTCGAAATAAAGGCGTATATTCTTTTAAATAATATTTTCAGGGTCGAAATAAAGGCGCAGATTCTTTTGAAGAATATTTGAAGGGTTTACATGAAGGAGTAGCTTTTTTAAAGGATATTTTCAGGGTTTACATGAAGGCCTAGCTTTTTTTAAGGATATTTTCAGGGTTGAAATAAAGGCGTAGATTTTTTTAAAGAGTATATTTAGGATTTACATGAAGGCGTAGATTTATTAAAGAACATTTTCAGGGTCGAAATAAAGGTGTAGATTTATTTAAGAATATTTTCAGGGTCGAAATAAAGGTGTAGATTTCTTAAAGAATATTTTCAGGGTTTACATGAAGGCGTAGATTTTTTAAAGAGTATTTTTAGGATTTACATGAAGGCGTAGATTTATTGAAGAATATTTTCAGGGTCGAAATAAAGGCTTAGATTATTTTAAAGAATATTTTCAGGGTCGATATAAAGGCCTAGATTCTTTTAAAGAATATTTACAGGGTCGAAATAATGGCCTAGATTCTTTTAACGAATATTTTCAGGGTTTACATGAAGGCCAAGCTTTTTTAAAAGATATTTTCAGGGTTTACATGAATACGTAGATTCTCTTAAATAATATTTTCAGGGTTTACATGAAGGCCTAGCTTTTTTAAAGGATATTTTCAGGGTTTACATGAATGCGTAGATTCTCTTAAATAATATTTTCAGGGGTTAATTAAAGGCACATATTTGTAAAAGAATGTTTTCAGATTTTAATTAAAGGCGTAGATTTTTAAAAGAATATTTTCAGGGCTTAATAAAAGCCTTAATTTTTTTTAAAGAATATTTTCAGGGTCGAAATAAAGGCGTAGATTTTTTAAAGAATGTTTTCAGGGTCTAAATAAAGGCGTAGATTTTTTAAAGAATGTTTTCAGGGTCTAAATAAAGGCGTAGATTTTTTTAAAGAATGATTTCAGGGTCGAATTAAACATGTAGATTTTTATAGAATGTTTTCAGGGTCTAAATAAAGGCACAGATTTTTATAAGAATATTTTTAGGAGCTATTCAATGGCGTAGATTTTTTAAAGAATATTTTTAGGAGCTACTCAATGGCGTAGATTTTTTACAGAATATTTTCAGGGGTTCAGAGATAAGGAATATTTTCAGTGTCGAAATAAAAGCGTAGATTTTTAAAGCATTTTTTTCAGTGATTATTTAAAAGCGTGGATTTTCAAAGCATATTTTCAGGGATTATTTAAAGGCGGAGTATTTTCAACAGGTGTTATTTAAGAACGTAGCATTTTTAAAGAATGTTTCCAAGGGCTATTTTTAAACAATATAACAAATATTTTCCAATTTTTGTGGTAAGTTTATTAAAGAATATTTCTCATATCTTATGTAGGTCACCGACATTTTATTTTGGTAAACAGTTAATATTTCCAATAGGGATGAAGTCCAATAAACCTTTTTTTGAAAACAATAACCCATGGTATTATTTGGATTTCTGACTCAATTCTGAAACCCAATTACAACTTCTCCAAAATTGAAAAAACGCAAATTAAACAAATAAACACAACCTAATCAGTACATTTCGAAAATTATCGATAAAATCATAAAGAACAATATTCGAAAACTCACTAACCAGTGGTGGGCTATAATATTGTTGCTATCAATACAGATGATAAGATGTCAATAAATATATAATCAGAAATTTAGCAATTCTAAGGCCACGTTTCGATTATTTCGACAATAGACGGCCAGTTTTTTCTTCGACTTCTTTTTCGGTACATTTTTTTTAATTTCCTAACCATCGGCGATTTTTACAAAAATAAACGTCCTTTGGGGGGTTTCTTATCACGCAAGATTAGAAATTTTGAGAGCTGTCCCCCGACTCTTGCTAAGAGTGTGGGAACTTAATCTTAAGTTGTTCAGATTAGAACTTTAGGGTTTTAGATATGAAGACTTATGACTCAATACTGTAAAATAAACTAAAAGTTAATCGCATTTAAGATTTCAATATTAGATATGCCATCAAAGTAGTTGACAGGGCAAGCAGCAAATAATGTTAGTCGCTTAAGCAGCTGTAATTGGTAGTAGGCACTCAAAATTTTGCAGATGATACGCCTTGATATATATGAATACGACTCTCAATTTTATCATCCACTATGCGCAAATATTGTTATCATACGTGGCTTTTTCGTATTCAGGCCCCCATCAAACTCATATAATTATCAAAAAGCAGAAAAATAAAACTAAAATAACAGACTTGTCCACAATAATCTGCTACTATCATTTGTTAATTATTTTATGTGTCGCAATTGTATGTGTATTTGTTTATTTGACCAAAAAACAATACAAAACGAAATATTTATTGTTGTTTTATAGCCGTTTAAACGAAAATTATTAATCGATTCATTGTAGCGTATCGACAGAAATACATCATTACACCTGTTGATACATATGTATGTATGACATTTACATGCAAACATAATTAGAGGTCTATATAAACGGTCTACACTGGGATTTTGTCATATAAAAAATATTTTTTTTTCGAATTGTATAAGCCACCTCCTCCTCACACTGAAAGTCGGAAGAACAGAAAATATAAGTTGAAGGTCAGTTTTCTCAAAATGTTAAGCTCTGTTTTAAATTATATGTAGTCAATGATATACTAAATTCAAACCTCTAGCAACTGTACATAATTTCTGAAGGTATACCACGAAGTAAATTTGAAATTTATGCTCGAAGGACCAAATCTATATAGCAGGGGCTACATAAGTCTTGGAATTTTTAAAGAATGTTTTCAGGGTCTAAATAAAGGCGTATATCTTTTAATGACAATTTTCAGGGGTTAATTATAGGCGTAGATTTTTAAAGAATATTTTTAGGGGTTAATTATTAATTATTTTTTAAAGACTATTTTCAGGGGTTAATTATAGGCGTAGATTTTTAAAGAATATTTTCAGGGGTTAATTATAGGCGTAGATGTTTTAAAGACTATTTTCTGGGTCGAAATAAAGGCGTAGATTTATTAAAGAATATTCTCAGGGTCGAGATAAAGGCGTAGATCTTTTAAAGACTATTTTCAGGGGCTAATTATAGGCGTAGATTTTTTAAAGACTATTTTCAGGGGTTAATTATAGGCGTAGATTTTTTAAAGACTATTTTCAGGGGTTAATTATAGGCGAAGATTTTTTAAAGACTATTTTCAGGGGTTAATTATAGGCGTAGATTTTTTAAAGACTATTTTCAGGGGTTAATTATAGGCGTAGATTTTTTAAAGACTATTTTCAGGGGTTAATTATAGGCGTAGATTTTTTAAAGACTATTTTCAGGGGTTAATTATAGGCGAAGATTTTTTAAAGACTATTTTCAGGGGTTAATTATAGGCGTAGATTTTTTAAAGACTATTTTCAGGGGCTACATTAAGGTGTTGATTTTTCAAGGAATATTTTCAGGTCTTTATAAAGGCGTAGATTTTTTAAAGACTATTTTCAGGGGTTAATTATAGGCGTAGATTTTTTAAAGACTATTTTCAGGGGTTAATTATAGGCGTATATTTTTTAAAGACTATTTTCAGGGGTTAATTATAGGCGTAGATTTTTTAAAGACTATTTTCAGGGGTTAATTGTAGGTGTAGATTTTTTAAAGAATATTTTCAGGGGCTTCATAATGTCGTGGATTGTTAAAAGAATATTTTCAGGGTCTACATTTTCTTAAAGTATATTTCCAAGGACTTCATAAAGGCGTGGAGTTTTTAAAGCATATCTTAACGTTCCACATAAAGGCGTAGATTTTTTCAGGGACTTAATAAATTTTTTTAAGAATATTTTTAGGGGCTACATAAAGGCGTAGATTTTTTCAGGGACTTAATAAATTTTTTTAAGAATATTTTTTTAAAGAATATTTTTAGGGGCTACATAAAGTACTGGATGTTTTTAATGATATTTTCGGGGTCTGCATAAAGTACTGGATTTTTTAAAGAATATTTTCAGGGATTAATTAAAGGTGAAGTTTTCTTAAAGAACATTGTCACGAGCTATATAAAGGTGTGGAGTTTATAAAGAATAGTTTCAGTAGCTTAAAAAATCGTGGATTTTTTAAAGAATATTTTTTCAGGAGCTTCATAGAATATTGGATTTTTTAAAGAATATTTTTCAGGGGCTACATGAAGGCGTATATTTTCAAAGTAGATTTTTCAAGGGCTACATGAAAGCGTAGATGTTCGAAAAAAAAACAGTTTTCAAGAAATATTTTCAGGCGTAGATTTGTCAAAGAAATATTTCAGAGGCTACAAAAAGGCGTAGGTTTGCAAAGAATATTTTTCAGGGGTTATAACAAAGGTATCAGTTTTCAAGATGTTCCAAAAAATTTCAGTTTTCAAGGAATATTTTCAGGCGTAGATTTGTCAAAGAAATATTTCAGAGGCTACAAAATGGCGTAGATTTTGCAAATAATATTTTTCAGGGGTTATAACAAAGGTATCAATTTTCAAGGAATATTTTCAGGGGCAATATAAAAGCATACATTTTTCGAGGAATATTTTTAGGGGCCATATAAAGGTAACGATTTCAGGGGCCACAAAAAAGGGTAGATTTTTCAAAGAATAAATTAAAAATTATTAAACATTGATTTTGTCAGGTATGTCCAACCGTCGGTCTATAGTAGTCACACAATTTTCAAAAGAAAAAATGTTGATTGTTAGTCAGCAGTTTGAAACCATTGTAAAAATTAGTATCACAACCCGATTTCGAATTTTTTAATCTCCCTAGCCTATCCTCAGTGTTCCTGAAGTTTGAAATTTCCTTTTCTCCAGGAAACCCCTATCGTTTTTAGGTATTATTAATTACCACTTCCTGGCTGGAGGATTATTTCGTTTATCTCTAATGGACCTAATTATTAACCAGATCATCCCTTAAACAAATTTATCAACTATGTTCAATTTTTTATAAAAATATTTACCAATCATATGCAACAGATTATCCTCGAAAATATAGCTGTCATCGAATCCATTGCTGGTTATTATTTCCGTTTTCATTTTTAGCATATTCGAAAACATTGAGGATAAAGTTAGCACACACACACACCACAAAACACAAGGAACTCACAAAAAGGAATATGAAAAATCTTTTGGGCTTTGTAGGAGTAATTTTTTTATTTTTAAATTGTTGTTAATATTTACACTAGATGCCGTTAAAATTTTTTATTTATTTATTTATTTTTTTTTTGCTGTAATATTTATTTGCACAATCCGAAACAGACAAAATTGATTTCCAAATAGAAATCACCTTATCCGCAAATATTTGTCAACATATTACTACGGGTGGCGTGGTGTAGTTGTTGTTGGGTTGTGGCGCGGATTTTTTTCCAAAAAAAAAAAATTACGTGGTGAATCCGTAAATAAAAATATGCATTTCTGTTGTGTTTCCAACTAGGGGTTCTACGAAGATCGATCGGCTAGTAGAGATAAAAACAGTACATCACCACCTAGTGCTATCAATTTACTTTAGAGGTTGACCACTTAAAAGAATGGCAAATATTTGTTTTCAATTTGAATATTTTTTTATGATTTTTTTAATTTTATTTTATACACAAAAATTACGGATGAGTGCATAACAGAATTATTGTCATATATAGCAGGCGGGACAGGCACTTGTTTGCTTAGTAGATGTTATTTGAATTTATTTTTTTCTTCAATTTTTTTTATTTTTTTAGGATAGACAATTTGTCTATTGTCGTCTCATCTGGTGTTGAATGGAAATTTTTGGAAATGTTTATTTTTGTTTGAGAATATTAATTTGGATTATTTATTTATTCTTTTTTTTTTAATTGTGGGGTATATTTTTGAGGGCACTTTTTTTAAAGACTTCTGGAATAGCTTTATTTTTATTTACACTTCATACGATTTTTATTACATCCTCATTATCCTTTTTTTCATTCAAACATGTATGAAGGCACACACACATAAGCACATAATATATTTATATATCATAAAGAGGATCCATATATATGTATAATAGCCGCCGACGATGTCTGTATGCGTGTTTTTATTTTTTATTTATTTTAATTTTTTGTTTTCGTAAGAAGAAAGCGTAGAACGACGTACAGACGAATGAACGAACGAATCAAACAAAATCAACCGATCGTTATGTTCTAACGTAAAATGCCGACTAAACCCTGCAAATGTTGTCGACACATACTAAACCGTATTCTGAATTCTATTAAGACCGTATTATATTGCTGTTGTCGTCGTTGGACGGACGGATGGATGGCTGGACGGATAGATGATCGGTCGTTCGGCCGTGGAAGGGGTGTACCTTCTCACATTGTTGCTATGATTATTGTTATTATTACTGTTGTTATTATATTATTATAGCCGTAGACTGTGTTGTCGTTGATGATAATAGTAGAATTATTAATCGTCAATCTTGACAACAACAACAACAACGACAGCAAGAGCGGCAGCAACACCACTAAACACTCTCTCACTCTCGTAGCGTACGACAATTAAACACCAGCAAATTGTTGTTAACAACACATCGAACAACATCGCGGCGAGAGCGGCAAAACAATTTTGTTATCAACATCAGCGATTACAAGTGGTGCTGCCAGCTGGCACGGCTATTTGGCCCAGGGTGGTAGTGCCATGGCGCGTACGACCAATACAAACATGGTCGACAGCACACAAGTCAACATAGGCATAGGCCAGCCAGCCGAGTCGCTGTTGTTAGTTGTTGTACTAAAAAAACGCTCTCGTCCAACACCATGCCGCTAAAAGCATTCGCGACAGCAGCAGAGCGCACCGAACATCTTAGAATGCCGGTCGGTGGCTGTTGGGGCCGTTATATACTTGTATTCGTAAATAACAACGAAAATTGATGGGGAGTAGAACAAAAATTCGCTCTCTTTCAATGGGGAGCAAGAAACAGTGTCACAAACTTTATGCTTTGAGAAAAATCGGCAAAACAAACCTAACTGTGGGTCTGTGAATATTTTCCTATAGAAAAATACACCGAACTAAGGGCTTGGGAATTTTTTCTATAGAAAAAACGGACCTTTCTATAAAAAAACGGACCTAAGGGACTGCGATTTTTTCCTGTAGAAAAAAACGGACCTGTTTTTTCCTTAGAAAAAATCGGACCTGAGGGTCTGCGAGTTTTTTTATAAAAAAAAAATTGGACCTGATAGTCTGAACATTTTTTTCTGTTGAAAAAAATCGGACCTGATGTTCTGCGAATTTTTTTCTATAGAAAAAAATCGGAATTTTTTTCTATAGAAAAAATCGTACTGATTGTCTGAGGTCGATTTTTTTTAAAGAAAAAATTCGTAGACTTTCAGGTCCGATTTTGCTCTGAGTCTGCGAATTTTCCTATAGCACAAAATCGGACCCGAAGGTCTGCGATTTTTTCTATAGAAAAGGGAACTGATTTTTTCCCATAGAAAAAATCGGACCTGATGGTCAGAAAATTTTTTTCTGTAGAAAAAAATCGGACCTGATGGTCTGCGAATTTTTTCTATAGAACAAAATCGGACCTTATGGTCGGCGAATTTTTATCTATAGAAAAAATTTGTCTGTAAATTTTTCTATAGAAAGAAGCCAGACCTGAGGTCTGCGAATTTTTTTTTTCTATAAAAAATCAAAAATTAAAAATCTATAGAAATTTTTTTTTTCCTATAGAAAAAAAAATTAAAACTAAGGGTCTGCGAATTTTTTCCTATAAAAAAATTTAACCTGAGTGTCTGCGAATTTTTGCTTAAAAATCAAACCTGAAGTTCTGCGAATTTTTTCTATAGAAAAATATCAAACCTGAAGGTCTGCCATTTTTTTATAGAAAAAAGCAGCCTGGAGCAGTCAAATTTTTTCTTAAGAAAAACCCTGTTCTAAGGTTCTTCGACTTTTTTCTTTTAAAAAAACATATCTGGCCATCTGCGATTTTTTTGTATAGAAAAAAATTTTTAAATCGTATTTTTTAAATAACAAGTTGTCAACACCTAGTGCAAAATATAAAGCGCGAAAATAGCCAATGAGAGATCTCAATTGAGAGGTAGAAAGTAATTTTTATTCAGAAAAAGAAGACAAACATTTTATGTGTTGTTCTATTATTTGGGCAGCCGCGAAGCGTAATCTGCTGCTGTTGTTGTTGGTGTGTGGCATTTGTTTGCTTGTTGGCTGGAATACTTACTGTAAGGGGGCTCGCTCGCAGGTTGGGGAAAACGTCGACGAGAAGAAGAAATGTTGATATGTCTTATCAACAAACACGAACACATATCAGGCCCACACAGATGGATGGTTAAATAGCCAGCCAGCCATCCATTTAGCTATGGTTTTTATTTTTTTCGGCTGATATGGGCGAAAGGTTTGTGTATATGTTTACATAGACCAACAACTTGACTTGGCTCTGGCTGACTGACTGCCTGGCTTATCACTCAACAGGTAATATCAAATAAAGTTGTTTTTATTGCTATTCTCCGTTTTTTTCTGATAATAATATTAAAAAAAATTAAAAAGATTTTGAAAATTGCAAAAATTTTAAAATTCCTGGAAATAAACACAGACCACTATTGAAAACATAGACTAAATATTTGTACAAAGAAACAAATAAATCTGAAAGTGTTCAAATATTTTACTTGTAATCCCTCACGTTTTTAAATATTAATTCAATGTTATTTAAATTAATATTTGTTGTTATTTCAATATTTAATTAATTATGTGAAATTGAGATAGTTGCCAGACACAGATATGTGTCTAAATTTTTAGGCATGTATGTGTATGTGTTTATTATCTTATCTTTCATTAAAGGTCAATATCAAATTTGACATTTAAATCAACACTGATCAACAAAAAAATAATAATTAAATTAAAACAATAGTCCAGTCAGAACTACTCTTTAATATAGAAAAAAATTCGCAGACCTCCAGGTCTGATGGATTTTTTAAAGAAGCCTATAGATAGGCTTTATAAAAATATGTTTAAAAAATCCACGCCTATAGATAGGCTTTATAAAAATATGTTTAAAAAATCCACGCCTATAGATAGGCTTTATAAAAATATGTTTAAAAAATCCACGCCTATAGATAGGCTTTATAAAAATATGTTTAAAAAATCCACGCCTATAGATAGGCTTTATAAAAATATGTTTAAAAAAATCCACGCCTATACATAGGCTTTATAAAAATATGTTTAAAAAATCGACGCCTATAGATAGCCTTTATAAAAATATGTTTAAAAAATCCACGCCTATAGATTTTTTAAAAATAGATAGGCTTTATAAAAATATGTTAAGAAAATCTGCGCCTATAGATAGGCTTTATAATAATATGTTTAAAAACTCCACGCCTATAGATAGGCTTTAAAAAATATTTTAAAAGGCTATAGATAGGCTTTATAAACATATGTTTAAAAAATCCTCGCCTATAGATAGGCTTTATAAAAATATTTTTAAAAAATCCACACCTATATTTTAAAACATCTACGAATCCATATTCCACGAAAGAATATTTTTCTACGAAAGTTAATTTTTAAAAAATATTTTTTCCAGGGTTTACTGAAAGCGTAGATTTTTAAAAGGTGTGGATTTTTAAAGAATGTTTTTTTCACGGTTTCTTAAAGGCGTAGATTTTTAAGGAATATTTTTTTTCAGGGTTTCATAGAGGCGTGGATTTTAAAGGCTGATTTTTTCTACTATTTCCCCTTGATTTATTTTCAAAGGAGACTTTTTACAAATATCCTGTCAAACAGTGTTCTTCGTTTCCCGGTCAGTAAACCGTAGTCTATCACTCGTATAAAAGAAAACCGGAGCTCAGGTTTATCAAAAACAAAATCAGCTAATATTTCAAAATAGTATTTTTGGAAAGAACAATTACACACACATATATACGAATATTCAAAACTCAAAACGGACTTGAAGTGACGTCGAAAAAAATTAAATGAAAGCTAAATAAGAAACCAGACCAATGGAAAAATGCTATACAAGTATTAATCGACGAAATGCCTGTTTTTAATGTTTATTGTTTTTATTTTTAATAAAACAAAAAAATAAATTATGACGACGTAATCTAAATT